TTGCCTGCAACTGAGTCATGTGCCCTTGACTGGAATTGAACCTGAGACTATTCAGTCCAGAGATTGACACTCCAACCACTGAGTAAAACCAGCCAGGGCCAACAAAATTATTTTAGTAATAAATCACAAGATGGCCACCCCACGTTGTCACAATATGGCTGGCAGTGGAGGGCAGATCAAGGCTAAACTGGCAGTTGGACATACCCTGAGAGGTCCCAGATTGGAGAGGATGCAGGCTGGGCTGAGGGACACCCCCACCCAGTGCACGAATTTTGTGCACCGGGCCTCTAGTTTAATATAACAGTTACACATGTAAACACACGCTTATATACTGAATTTCAGGTCTTCCTCAGAGCCTAGGCTAAGTGAAGCTCTCTGACCTTGAAGATTTCAGGGTGTGCAGCAAGGGAAAATGGGAAGCTAGAGAGGCAGCATGCTTATGCAAGCAGCCTTGATGGCTCCCGAAATTAGAAAAAATAAGATATAAAGTTTGCCAAATTGAAAACAAAATATTATTGAGCAATTACAGTATATATACAATGGGTATACTTTTTAATATATTTACATGTATTTTTGAAAAAAAGGGAAACTCTTATTTATACATAAGTTCATCACAATAATAAATATTAACATTAAAATTTCTGTTAAGAGCCTTAATTTTGCAATTTTATAAAAACTGAGATTCTTGCATATTCATGGTCAATAGGAAATATAGGCAGATTTGTCAATTTGTCTTCACTCAGAGTTGATTGGAAAATATGTTTTTTAAATTTAAGTTCGAAATTTTTCTTTCACATGAGGCAACCAATATTCTATGGGCAGTTATAGCCTTAATTATAGTCTTAATTCTAAATTTGGCAGAGATTCATAAAAATTCTATTTCACAAGAATTTTAGAAAATTTAAACACAAATAAAAACTCCAAATGGTCACATAGACTGACAGAATGGAACTAACTCAAATTCTGCTTTTGTATCTTTACAGATCCTGGGCTTTCATTGTTTATTTTAGATCTTCTGTTAAAATGGAAGAATCTGCAACATTACAGGACTGACATCTGATTTGTACCTGAAGCATGCTTAAGCACTTCCAACCTGATATGAACATACTAAGGGAACAAAAACATATAGCTTAGTCTGTATGTGTCTGGAGGGAACTATTCAACAAGGCATTCTCTGGATTAATGTCTATGTATAATACAATGTTTATTAAAAGATAAATAATACAAACATGCCAGTTTGAAGCTCTTGTAATTTGAAGTTATTATTGAAATTCAATAGCAACATCAACAATTCTTTATTTTTTATGTTATTTTTTTAATCCAGCAGCAATTCTTTAGAATTTATATCCCAATAGCAACATCAGCAATTCTTTATTTTTTATTTGTTATTTTTTTTAATCCAGCAGCAATTCTTTAGAATTTATATCAACCAAAAAATTTTAGAGAAACATTTTATCATTTTTAGAGTTATAAAACAAGCAAATGATCTTTCAGTCACTTACATTGTTACTTTAAATTCCCTACAATTTAAAATTCACTCTTTTATTATCTGTAACCATAGCAACAGTTTCCACTGCCCTGCTCTTAAGTCTGCCACTAAGAAGAAAAGGGAAAATGGAAACTGGCATTTTGGTAAATATCCACACTGTGCCCACCAGTATGTTGGAGTCTTATATAAAAACTAGGGGCCCAGTGCACAAATTCATGCACCTTGAAAGGAACTGTGGTCCGCAAGGCTGCGGTAGGCATGGGGTGGGTCTCTGCCAATCCTCTGCACCCCTGCCTGGCCCCTCCCGCCGCAGCCCCTGGTCTCCTGTCTGCTGGCAGCCCTGCTCCCGCTGCCGCTGCTCCCACGCGCTGATGGCACTGGCCCTACTCGTACCTGTTGACGGCATGGAGCGATTGGGGCCAGCACCAGCAGCAGGTGCGAGCGGCAGCTGCAAGCAGCGACTGCTGCCCCTAATTGCCCCTGAAAGCAGGGGGAGGTGGAGAAGCCCTCCAGGGTACTCAGGGCTGGCAGCTGCTGCTTGCACCCGCTGATGGCACTGAGTGATCAGGACCAGCACCAGGCACCAACAGAGGGTGCAAGCAGGGTTGGCACTGGCAGTGGGTGCGAGTGGCGGCTCCGGCACCGGCAATGGGTGTGAGCACTGGGCAGGACCGCAGCTCGCAGGAGCAAAGAATTTTCAGTAACCAGCAGAGGCTCGCCCTGATGACAGCGACCGACACCCCTCCTTGGTCTGGCGCCCCTGCTCACCTGCTCCACCATCCCACTGTGGCCAATGCCCGCCATGTTCCGCATACGCCCCCCTGGTGGTCACGCACATCATAGACACCAGTTGTTCGGTTGTTCCACCGTTCGGTCTATTTGTATATTAGCCTTTTATTATATAGGATTATATAGGATAACTCTTTGAAGAGAAGTTATTTTGTCATTTTAAGATGAAAAATATTAGCCTCAATTGCCAAAGATTACACAGCAAAGTAAGTGGTGAAGTTGGAATTCAAACCAAGGTTTTTCTGACTCCAAATCATATACTATCTCTACTCTACACACTATTTCTTAATGGGGTATAGGAGGGAAGTGAGCTGTGGCAAAATTTAGATATAACTGGGGCTTGACCTTGGCAGTATGAGGAAAATAGAGAGAAAAGCATGGCTGGGAATTGGGGCTGGTGGTAGTGGTGCTGATACTGCAGGATCAAAATGGACCAAGTATGACAACATATTAGATCTGGAAATAATGGATATGGTGAAATTCAAGTTTAACAGCTAGGAAAGAGCAGAACCAGGCAATATCTTAGACACTGATACCAAGCAGTTGCCAATATCCAATGGAAATTACAATGAAATAAAGAAAAATCTACCTACCAGGGTACTTATAAAAGGGGAATGAGCCCTAACCGGTTTGGCTCGGTGGATAGAGCGTTGGCCTGTGGACTGAAGGGTCCCAGGTTCGATTCCAGTCAAGGGCATATGCCCGGGTTGCGGGCTCGATCCCCAGTAGGGGGTGTGCAGGAGGCAGCCAATCAATGATTCTCTCTCATCACTGATGTTTCTGTCTCTCTCTCCTTCTTCCTTCTTTTCTGAAATCAATAATATATATATATGGAGTGAATACTTTGACAAGCTGCTTGGATGGATAAGGGACATTCTCTGGAAACAACAGTTAATCCCAAGTTGCCTTCTAAGAGTGAGTAGCCTAGTGATCATTTAACTTTTGCTTACTAAGTAGGAATGCAAGTTTGGAGGCAGAGCTGAATTGCTCAGAAAGGCATAAGAGATTAAGGATGCTGCAATTTTTTGTACCATGCATTTGCCCTATAAGCTCAGCCTCCCTTCTAAACAAAGTTTAAGTTGTTTTTCAAATATAATGACTTGACGTGTCACCAAATTATCAGCTTTCCAAGTGCACATACATTGGGTACTACCACAAAAGTAGTATTACTTGAAAAATAAACTAGATGGATAGGATAGATAGATGATAGATAGATAGATTAGATAGATAGATAGATAGATAGATAGGTAGGTAGATGGAGCAAAGGAGCAGACTTGCCAGGGCCAATCTGCATAGCCATTCATGTAAACTCACAAACAAGGGATATTCTGTACATGCCATTTGGATTGATATACTTCCCAGAATGACTTTTTCCGACACTTCTGTTGTTTTTTCTTATGTGGGTGGGACACTGTTCTTTTCCTACCATCTATTTTCCCCAATGGTCTTTACTGATACGACTAGAGAAGGTTGTGTTGACTTTGTAGCACTCTCTTGATTATATTTACATGGAGTCCCTCCCACTGGCCACCTGCAGGGAGGAGCCTGCAATAACATCAACTGCCACTATGGGGCAGCAAGAAGCTATGACCCTGCATGTCTAAGAGTATCCTTCCTAGGACTGAACATTCTCATTTGTATCTATTTATAATTTTTAAAAACTATTTTCATTTGCCAATTCTTTTGTGATAAGTCTGCGCTACCGATTTCTTAAATCTTTATAATGAAATAGCTATTTCTACCATATATGTCAAGAAACTTAAATACTTTGTATTTTAGCCTTTAATGACCTATATCAATGTAGCTAGGTTAAACCAATCATTTATAGGATTCTGAGAATCCATTTTGAAAAGTTTATTCTTTCCTACATCTTAAGAGTCACATTCTACTTTTAGTCATTAAGAACTAACATTTACTAGCTCATATGTGTCTAGCACAGTTTTAGGTGCTTTTTATATATACTAACTCAAATTTAACTTTTCTCATCTCTCTGAGGTAGCTTTCATTCTCAATCCTTTTTCAAATGATAAAACATTTCAAAAGTCATGTAGCTAGTAAGGAATGCTCAGATATATACACAAATAGTATTGTTTGGCCCCAAACCCGATGCTTTAAACCAACACTCTTTTTGTTCACAAACTTGCCCTAATTAGAATAAAAATACAATTTAACAATTAAACTTTAATAAACTCCATGATTGCACCATAGGAGCCTATGAATATTATGGTCATGTAACATTTCTACAAAAATCACAAGTTCTGAGGGGATTCAGCAAGACCCATTACTGATAAGTGGAACAAACTAAAAAAGAGAGTGGGGGGCGGGGTGGGGGAAACTACTTTGAAAGGGTTAAGGATTCCAGAAGGCTGTAATAGCAGGTTTGTAATCAAGGGCCACCATAAAGAAACAGCAGGAGGGGGGGAGGTAATCTTGGTCATGCTGTGAGTGCACAAGTCTTTAGTTTAGAATTGTGTCAAACCACCCAGGAGCAGAAGAGAAAGCTGTGTTTAAACTTTGTTCCATTTCAGAATGTACATGGTATTTTTTTTTTCTGAAGCCAAAAAACTGAAGATTAACTTAGAACACTTGATTCAATAGTATCCATTTGAAAAGTTGGACTGAGTTTTTGCTAACAGGGTTACCCAGGTTAAGTTGATTTTCCATCATAATATAAAATAAAAATTATCCATACTATTTAGCAGCAAAAAGCTTTTGAACCCACCTCTCAAGTAAAACCACAACATTCTTCAATTCTGCTCTCTGGTAGGTCAATCAATCTGCACTTCAAAAAAAAAAAAAAAAAAAAAAGGATGAAGAAATGCTGTTTAAATATGTTGCTTCGATGTTCACTGCCCAATTCCCTTTACCCATCTGGAAGAGAGCTCCATTTAGGCCATCTGGGGTCTTTCATTCACATCACTGGGTGTAACTTGGTTTTTAGAGGTGCAGAACAAGCTCTCCCAGGAGCATGGTCACGCAACTATATTTTTTCAAAGCAGGAAAGTCAAGTCTTGAGGTTTGGAAGAGCTCAGTGAAAATTACGTTGGCAATACTTTCTACAGCAAATTGATCCAAACTGAAAATGGGCACTTTATTTTTGCACGCTATGTCCTTTAACCACCCTTTCTGAACCTGATTGATTCGTGCAAATCAATGAAAGATCAGATTTTTCAGGATGAAATATTAAAAATATTAGTTAGGTATTTATCCTGATTGAAAGAACACTGATATTCAGCAATTCTGCTCTTATGAAGCATCATTTCTATTAAATGAGAAGAACTTGAGAACAGGAAAATGTAGAGGTTTTCCAATTTCCCCAGAAAACTCAAGTCTTCACCCTGAAAGCTATAATGTTGTGCCCAGTAGTTTTCACTGAGGACCAGCCCAACAGAGAAATTAGACTTATCTCAGTCATGGGCTGCCAGGAGAAGAGCAGGTAAACACCTTTCAACAGAATTAATATGTTTTTGTTTTTAAATGTGTTTATTTAGATGACAGCACTAACTGCCTTTCTACTTAATATTAGTATTTCTTTTTATTACAAAGATACTCATAAAATAACTTCAGAAGAAATTAACTTTTATAAGCACATTTTCTAATTAACTTTTCCATAATGATGTCCAGGAGGCTTTTTATAGATTTGTTCCAGTGAACTCCACTTTGCATCCATCAGCTTAAAAAGCATTACTTCTCTTACGCATTCTGAATACTCAATGGGTGCGAAAGTTTCCTCAAGTCAATGAGCCCTCACTCTATAATCCACTAGTCCAGACTGCCTTCTCTATAATCCACAAGTCCACTGATTTGTTTTTTTCCTGAGCACTTCTGATTATTTTCACAAAGGAAATCACAACATGTTATCCTTTCTGCTCTAGTTTGCTCAGGGTCCTCAATTTAGATGACAGATTTATTTATGACTGAGGCTGTAAAGAATCCAAATTCTTATTCTTTCTGATTAAGCATGTTTCTTCACTTATTCACTAAATACGTTCAAATCTCAGTGTGATTTTGGTAGAAGGAAAATCATGACATTTCTAAAAATTGTCAATGTTATTAAGGTGAGACTCTCAGTTTTCTCTCAGTTGAGATAAAAATAAAACTGAAAAACCCAAATCCCTTGAAATAATAGAACAGTTCCTTTGTGTGTGTTCATTGTAAACAAACAATAAAGTTCCAAACATAAATCAGCAGTCTGTGTTTCAACTATGAGGAAACAAAGACTAGAAAGAAAAAAGAATTTAATGATTCCTGTAAAAACATCTTATGTGAAAATACTGCCACCCACCATCTTTTTTTTTTCTTTCTAACTACAGTACAGTTTTTCAAAGAATTTTTGGCATCTCCAGATGATAAATTATGTGAATTATTGTTGGATCAAAATTCCTTTGAAATAACTGCAGGTGTTCAAGATCCTGTCAGAGCAAATGTATTTTAAGTACCCTGAAGACTCTGACACTCAGCCATTTCTCAGGCTTCTTTGAGGTAGAGCTCCTGTTGGGAGTGGCTTTGTTTAAAATTGGAGACATATGGAGAACTACGCAGTGAAGACAGGAGGAAGCCTATCCAATTGCCATAGAATTAGAATCTTACTCCTGACTTAAGTACATATTTGAGGGTCTTTTTTTTTCTTTCTTTCTGCTGAGTGCCCTTCCCTTTATTTCTTCTTACTCCATCGCAAAATACTACAAAGGGGAGTATCTCATTACTAGGTTGGGAACTACAGCTTCCTGGAAACATAATTTGGTTAAACATAATGACATTAATTATAATGTAATCTGCATTGAACAAATCATCTGTATTCAGATTTTATTTTCTTTGAGGTTTTTTGAGGTTTCTCTGTAGAAAATGGGTTTAAATATATTGTTTTTTAAATTAAAAACCTAATGGGTGTTTCTGTTTTTTGAAAGAATAGATGGATGAATGATGAATACTATCTTATATTTTAAGAAACAGAGAAAAAGAACTAAATATATACAATTTATAAGTCATATGTTATAATTATGTGTCTCATTAAATTCTTACATAATATTTAGAAGAAAATTATTATTGTTCACATTTGTCTATTAAGAAAATTGAAGATCAGAAAACTTAAGTTGTTCAATATCATACAAATAGTAAATGACAAGAAGAGATTTTTTCCAGGTTTGCTTCATTCCTACCAATGGCCATTCTCTTTTCATTTTACTCATACATATCCCCAAAGGGTCAACTTGAGGCTTTAACAATTGTCTCTACTGTATTTAGTTTAAACCATAATTGCTAGTATTCAACTATTTTTGACCAATAAATATGTTAATTCCATATAAATCTAAAGCAATATTTTTTTGTTTTGGATGTCATTCTTGTTTTTTCTTCTTTTCATTTATTCTGTTGTACTTCTAACTTTTAAGTTTAAACACATAGTTCATTATTTTTCAGTTGTTTTTCTATTATATGCATGAAGTTTATAAATTATAAGTACCCTGGCAATATCCCACTAATTTTGATAAATAGTATTTCAATTATCATTTAGTTCTAAATATTTTCCACTTCAGATTTCTTAATTTCTGAGTTATTAAAAACTATGCTTTGAATTAATCAAATGTATTTTAAGGTATTTTTATGGATTTTTAAAATTCTGCCATCATCAAAAGTGGCCTTTATGATACCAATTCCTTAATATAATTATAAGATCTGCCTTATGAACCTAATCTACAGTCAATTTTTATAAACATCCCATGTATACTTAACAAGAATGCATATATCCTAATTGTTAGGTGCAGGGCCCTAGTGTTAATTATGTGGCTCAAATAGCCTGTAACCATAGTAATTTTGAAATACTGAGAGATTATTAAACATAGTAATTTTGAAATACTGAGAGATTATTAAACAATATTAAAATGTTCCATTCTGATGACATTAACCTTGGGGTTAATGGTGGAGATGAGAAAGGAAAGGTAATCAGGGTCCACATATTAAGACTTTGGGCATGATGCCAGGGAATTTACCCTTTATTCTGTAGATCTGTTTCCTACTTCTGGGATGGAGGGTGATCATCATAATCATCTGGGAAACTATTGAAAATGCAGATTTCCAGACTCTATGAATTCATGCCTTTTACTAATTCCTCTTATAATTCTGATGACTATCCAGGGATCATGGACATAGGTTTTGTAAGTTCTACTGCACAATATTTAATGAGGTAAATGCCATATCCAACTTGCCTTTAAGAAAGATAATTTTGATACAGCAAAATATCAGCCAGGTATCAAGAGAATTACAGGCTGGGAATTTATTCAGAAAGTTTTCATTACAATTCAGAAGAAAAGGGTGAGCTTGATCAAAAGAAAGAGATAAATTTAAGACTGATTCCAGAAGTAAAAATAAGATGGTAACAGTTAAATTTCGCAGGTGAGTGAAAGGAAAGAGTATAAACCCTAGATCTATAGTATATGTAACAGTGTACATCGTTGGACTAGAATGCCAAAACAAAAACTAAAGTGGGAAAAGATATTTCAGAAAGATGGAAGGTGAGGTTTTTGTGTGCGATCAACCAACAAACAGTATGCATCATGTCTTTGAATCTGGCCTCCCTTTTTAAAGGTTTTGGAGGGATTCATTCTACAAATTACTCCACTTAAAAGACTTCTTAACTAAACATAATGCTTCTTTTTTTTAATAAAATTCTTAGAACCAGGTAGGATTTTCAACTTTACCTGTATTTCTACTTTCATATAAAAAGTATTTTATAATTTTTATATTGGTAGAAAAATTTGTTTCTATCCCTAGAAAAATTAATATTGTTACATATATTAACAGTGGACAATATGAAATGCCTAACAGCATAATAATGAAAAGTAAACTTAAGCAGTCTATACTAATTGTATGTAATAAAAACATAATTCAAAATTCCATTAGACTAGCCTGTCAGCAGTCACAATGCACATGTATTTTAAAATTTAGACACTTAAGATATTACTCTTTATGAATACATAGCCAATTCTTTTCAGTAATGAATAAAAATTTCAAGATAAACACTAAGTGAAGCATAGAACATTTGGAATTAATTTGAATTTTTTGCCCAACTTTTATAAGAGGTTCTCACAATCCTCTATAGAAATCCTGGTCCATGAACTATGTAAATTACTCCTTTAAGTGAGGTTTACAATAGAGGGATATGCTCCAGAGATTGGGCTGTCACCAGGGATAGAAACCCTATTCCAGGTTATTTATTGAAAAAACATATAAAATTTTTATTAATATGCAGATGCTCTCTGGAGAAAACAAAATACTTCTTTCATTCATCTTTAACAATTCCCTGTAGACAATAAAGAGAATGCTTTATGTTTGAGAAAGCTGAGTTTCAAAGAGTTGATTCTATTGGTACATTTTTCTATATTATATTCTGGCAAAGTTTTTATTTACATATATCCAGGATTACCCTTACAACATGTGAGACTATATATGTGATGAGTTCCTTGAAGGCTCTCTACATAAAATTTTACTATTTTTAATATCTAAAAAATGTATGTCAAGATTTACTGTTCATTCATTGACATTTAAAAAAGTAGTGACTATCCTTGTTGATTAAAAGGCAAATGTTCAAATATTTAGAACTTAAATGTTACTTACATTTAGTCTAAAACTTACCAGATCATCTCCCTCCTTAACGGCTAGCTGAGATCAGGCCACTAAAAAAGGAAGAGAAGCGGGAGATGAGAGTAATAACTTTAGAGGTTAGGGAAGTTCCCACATAGGTGTGATGGTTACTTTTGTTGTCAATTTGAATGGCCACAGGGTGTGCAAAGAAAACATTATTTCTGGACATGTCTGTGAGGATGTGTTTAGATAAATAAGCATTTGAATTGGTAGATTCAGTAAAGAAGACTGCCCTCTCCAATGTGGGGAAGCATCATCCAATCCTTGAGGACCTGAAGAAATTTGCTCCATTTGTTCCTACCTCACTGCTAACCTGGTACGTCTCGTTTCTTCTCCTCTGATCCTTGAGCTGAGATTTATACCATCCTCCCCCTTAATTTTCAATACATCAGGTTCAGACTAAATTATACCACCAGCTTTTCTGGGTCTCCAGTTTGCTGACTGTGACAGATCATGGGACTTCTCATGCTCCATAATGATGGGAGACAATTCCATACCTATCTCCTACTGTTTCTTTGTAGAACCCTGACTAATACAGAAGGTATGTGAAGATCTGCCTCTGTGGGCAACCCAGAGTCCCCAGCATCCTGAGCAATTTAGGAACAATGAGTATGCAAAGTAAACAAATACAAACAAAAAGAAGCTTCAAATTTTGTCAATGATAATCTCTGGATACACTTTACTACACCCTTGCTTTCTCTATATTGCCTATGTCACCATCACTCTCCAAACACTTGAGCAATGTCTCATTCACAGGCATGGAATTTACAAAGCATAGCATTGAACCATGAGACCATCTGACCACTGTATAGCAAAGGAAGTGCAGGAATGAGCCCATGACCTTGGGATCCACTTGGTGTATCCTTTGAGAAAGGAAAGGAGCAGTAAGTCTAATTAAAATTCTTGGCCAACAAAAGGCATTAAATACAGAATTTAGAATGCATCAACCTATATAGATTCTGAGAACCAAGTTGTACAAGTATTTGTATAGACATATGATTTCCTTTCCTTTGAATAGACAACTAGAAATAAAATTGCCAAGTCCTTTGGTGTTTAAATATATAAAAACTATATTAAAAACTGACAAACTGATTCCGAGCAAGATGGCGGCATAGGTAAACACCGGAGACTGCTGCCGCAAACAACCACTTCAAAAATACAACTAAAAGACGGAACAGACATCACCCAGAACCACAGGAAGGCTGGCTGAGGAGAGACTCTTCAACTAGAAGGAAAAATAACAGCACACCGAGGCTCAGAGGAGGCGCAGTGTGGAAAAAACTCAGGTGCGGAGGTGCGCGCGCAAAGCGGGCTGGTGGCTGAGAGCGCGGTTGTCGTTTTCGGTCAGGGGGGAGTCTCAGACTCTGAGCTCCAGATACGGGCGAATCGCTGGGGACTCGGACCCAAACGGGAGAAGCGGGAGTGTCTGGCATCAGTTGGAAGGCAGCTTTCCCTCCGAGGTTTGCAGCGGTTCCGGGGGTTCTGAGAAGCAGAGCCTCTGGGAACAGGACTGAGGGCACCATAACGGCTCCCTCCGCCCGCCCTGTTGAGCCCGCCCCGCCCAAGCCCTGCGCAGAGCCATTTGCCGGATCGCCTCAGGCAAAGGCTAGATTAGCACCTCCCCAGAGGACAGAAGTTTTCCGCGGCAGACACAGCTGATTCACACAGCCAGTCGGCCTGGTGGTCAAATCCCTCTAGTATTAACTACAACAATCAAGGCTCAACTAGAACAAGACTGCGCACAAAGACCACTAGGGGGTGCACCAAGAAAGCATAAAAAATGCGGAGACAAAAAAACATGACAGAAATGGAGGATATAGAGCTAAAAATCGCAATTTTGAGGGCTTGCAAAAATGTGCTAGAAGCTGTCAATAAACTTGAGGAGAGAGTCACGAAAACTAATGAGACCCTCGATGCTATGATAAAGAACCAACTAGAAATTAAGCATACACGGACTGAAATAAAGAATATTATACAGACACCCAATAGCAGACCAGAGGAGCGCAAGAATCAAGTCAAAGATTTGAAATGCGAAGAAGCAAAAAACACCCAACCGGAAAAGCAAAATGAAAAAAGAATCCGAAAATACGAAGATAGTGTAAGGAGCCTCTGGGACAGCTTCAAGCGTACCAACATCAGAATAATAGGGGTGCCAGAAGATGAGAGACAGCAAGATATTGAAAACCTATTTGAAGAAATAATGGCAGAAAACTTCCCCCACCTGGTGAAAGAAATGGACTTACAGGTCCAAGAAGCGCAGAGAACCCCAAACAAAAGGAATCCAAAGAGGACCACACCAAGACACATCATAATTAAAATGCCAAGAGCAAAAGACAAAGAGAGAATCTTAAAAGCAGCAAGAGAAAGAGACTCAATTACCTACAAGGGAATACCCATACGACTGTCAGCTGATTTCTCAACAGAAACTTTGCAGGCCAGAAGGGAATGGCAAGAAATATTCAAAGTGATGAATACCAAGAACCTACAACCAAGATTACTTTATCCAGCAAAGCTATCATTCAGAATTGAAGGTCAGATAAAGAGCTTCACAGATAAGGAAAAGCTAAAGGAGTTCATCACCACTAAACCAGTATTATACGAAATGCTGAAAGGTATCCTTTAAGAGGAGGAAGAAGAAAAAGGTAAAGATACAAATTGTGAACAACAAACATGCATCTATCAACAAGTGAATCTAAGAATCAAGTGAATAAATAATCTGATGTACAGAATGAACTGGTGATTATAATGAATCAGGGACATAGAAAGGGAATGGACTGACTATTCTTGGGGGGGAAAGGGGAATGGGAGATGCGGGAAGAAACTGGACAAAAATCGTGCACCTATGGATGAGGACAGTGGGTGGGGAGTGAGGGCGGAGGGTGGGGCGGGAACTGGGAGGAGGGGAGTTATGGGGGAAAAAAAAAAGAGGAACAAATGTAATCTGAACAATAAAGATTTAAAAAATAAAATAGGACACCTAGAAAACAAGAGAATAAATTATTTTTAAAAGGAGGAAGCGATGAATAATGTTAAATGTTGGTAGTTCAGTCAAAAGAGATCTAAGAATTGACCATTAGCCCTAGCTGATTTGGCTCAGTGGGTGGAGCATGGGTCTGTGGACTGAAGAGTCCCGTGTTCAATTCTAGTTAAGGGCACAGACCCAGATTGCGGGCTCAATCTTCAGTATGGGTGTGCAAGAGGCAGCCAAACAATGATTCTCTCTCATCATTGATGTTTCTATCTCTCCTTCTCCCTTCCTCTCTGAAAGCGGCTTTCTCTCAGAGGTGCTTGCAACGATTACCGCAGGACACTGAGTCCCAGAGCCTCTTAGCGAAGGGCTGAGGATCGGCCATAGCTGTTTGCTCAGCCCTGTTGATTCCCTGAGACCCTGCCCCACCCAGGCTGTGTGCAGAGGCTTTTGCATATCAATGGCCTGGCCCTTTTCAATCTAAAACTACCTAACAAACTGCAGCTGGGTCAGAGACCCAGAACATCCAAAAGAAGGCCCAAGGCCCTACCGCAGCTTGCATTACTTCACAGCTGGGCCTCATCTGGGCACCTCCAAACCCCAAAGAAGGAAAAGGAATCTGCAGATCTCTCTGTAGCTCCTGTTGGGTAACCTCAGGCAGAGTCTAAATTAGCACCTCCTTAGAGATCAAAGAGCCAGTGTACCCAGTGGTCAGAGTGGGACCATCCAGATTACAACTCTTTACATCCATAAGAGACCCACTCAGGGGGCAGACTCAGTGAGCACTAAAGCCCCACTGAAGTAAGTCCTGCCTCATAAGGGTGTCTCCAGCACAGCAATTCTCCCATTGTAGACACAACTGGTCCTCACAGCCAATTTGGCCTGGAGTCAATTCCTCCCAGTGATACCAACTACAATCAAGGCTTAACTACAACAAGACTGTGCACAAAGCCCACAAAGGGGTGCACCAAGTTTTTAATATAGTTTTTATATATTTAAACACCTCTGGTAATTGGGGAAGCTGAACCACTGGGCCCTATAGGACACCTAGCACAGAAAGCCACTCTATCAACACAGGGAAGCAGCCAAAATGCGGAGACAAAGAAATAGGTCACAAATGACAGAAATGGAGGAAAGCAAACTAC